CAACCTAGCATAAGAAGGTCTAAATGAGGGTTACCCTAACCCTAGGGTCCCTGTGCACAAAATCTCAAAGTTGATTCTGCAACCGATAGGTTATGTTCTCAGACGAATTCATTTACATGGACAGACTAAATTGTTTTGCCCAATTCCCCCATATAGACTTATGAAATTGAAACGCTCCACTACCCTCCCCTCCAATTTAGTTAAGGTTGCGCAAATAACTGAATAGCTTCAAGACAGTACTCCATCCATTTAGGTCATTTTCCCTACTTCCTCCAGGTATAAGCTACATACGAGGATAAACCCAAAGATAGACAAATGGGCATTTGCGTGCTTCCTCTTCGTCTGCGGTAGTTTTCCACTAGTGATGGCTGATCCAAATGGATCTGATTAAGATGAAGCGGAGCTCACATACTGAGCTGTAGTAGTTCACCTTTGGACCATAATGCTACATTTTACGGCGCTTTCACAAGGAAGCACCTAATATTCCCCTTAGCAGCACTCCACTCAGCCAACAGGTAAACTGACCTTATCGGGCAAAATGCCTTCAGCGAAGCTGGTTCTGTCAAAAAAGTACAGCAATGCATTCTGTTCCAGAATTTCAAGAAAATAGCAGAAACTGGAAAAGGACTAATAGTGATGTCGTTTGGATCAGTGGCACACACGGAGTGGATGCCCGAGCACTGGAAGACAGCTCTTCTGAAAGCTTTTGCTCGGTTTCCCGATTATCAGTTCGTAATTCGATACGTGTTGGACGACCTGAAAGGTTTGACTCGACTATGCTTCACTGTTTACTTCGGTTTACTCACATGACTGTTTCCCGATCAGCAACTCGTGATCACAGCTTTCCTTCGCCCTTCTTAACACGTTGACGACCGTGTGGTATGATGTCATACCACACTCTTTCGGCCACGTGGGACCGTGTGACATGATGTCATGTCACAGTCTTTTTTAAGCTGGTTTTCAAACATTTCAAGAAACTTTTTATATAAAGTCACACCAAAGTCAAATTTTTCGTTTGCCATGGGCTTCTTACCATTAGTTTCTCAGTTTAAGTCGAAAAAAATTTCAAGTATGGCGAAAAAGTTTGCGGTCTTGCATATCACTGTAGTTCACTTTTTGATAAAGTATGAATGTAT